TTTAGATACATGTACACCACGCTCCTGTAAGTTAGATTTTAATTGGAAATTTTATGGTACCAAACTGATTTTGTTCAGTAAGTTCCGAGCCTTGTGCATTTGTGGGACCCGTCTCACGAGTGCACGGCGTCTGCTGCGCCCCGGATTTGGGTTCTGGGGCGTGACAGATTAAGTGGTATTAGAGCTTAGGTTTGATTAAGATTTCGTGATGTGAGAGCCTAGGTTTAATTGAATACCTAGGATTTGTTTTGGACTTGGCTAGCCAGTGGATTTTAGAATCGTGGTGAGATAAGTGATGGGGTTATATAAGGGACGATTCTGATTCATGTTGCCTGAATTTTCTCATCCATTTCGATGAGATGGTGATCTGATTGTTCTTGTTTCTTGCCTTCATACTTTGTGTGAAGTTGTGAAAGTAATCTTGCCCGTTATGTCCTGAAGACCTTGTTTTGAAACTTGGTCATTTTCTGATAGTCCGCACTTGTTTAGACTTGTTTCGTGAATGGAATTTTTGTGTGCTCTTTTGCCACAATTTTGAAATCTGGGGAGTTGCAGAGATCTTTTGTGATTGATCCTGTTAGTCTCTACAGCATAGCTGGTGGAGAATTTGTCTTGTTTGTCACATGACCAGTGGAAAGATGGGCAACCCTCTACTTTGTAAGAGATTCCAGGCTATTTTAGCAAATGTTGTGTGTTTTCTAGATGCGTTTTAGGAGCTGGATAACTTGGTTTGCCTGTGTAATGAACTTACATGTGAGGCGACAATGATCCATTAAGAAATTTCGTGCTTTTGATTGAAATCCTTATGGGATTTGAGTCTATATATTAGACGTGCCTATGTCATGCCAATGTCTAGGCTGTGGTTGACGCCACTTAGTCTCTGTATATATCCAAATGCTCTTGCAGGAAAGGAGATGGTTTTTCACACATGGGTGAAAATTTTCCTGCTAAATAGCCTACCAGATATCTTTGTCTAAACTTGCTTCTATTCTTGAAAAATTGTCTGAAAATTTGTTATTACTCAAGTTTTGGATTCTGCACTTGTTTTTGTTTCTTGAGTATCGATGTCCAAATATAAATTATGCCTGGTGGAGTTCTTGAAGTTAGCTTGACATATGCTAACATAGAAAATTGCTTGATATTTGGTTGTGGAATCCATTCTGCTCTGTCTTCGAAAATGTTTTGCTTTGACACTTGCTCGTGCTCAAGTTCTGAATTTTATGCTAGTTGTTATCTCGGTATACCAATATACCTGTTAATTCTTGTTTTAAGTTTCATGTAGACACCTCCTTAGGAGGGGTGATGATTTCTAGGGATATATCTAGGAATATCCCTATTTTGGTTATGGACAAATAGTCTAATGCCGATATTACGTCTTAATATCTTTGATTGACGTGATTGTAAAAATACCTTGCCATTGTGGACTATGTTTTAAGTGGGTTATCATTACCGTATTTAGTACTCTAGAGTTCAGTTCTAGAGGAATGGTTCTTTCCTCTATCCACTTAGATTCTTGCCTTGCCATCCAATGACACGTTATTGATTAACTTTGGGTGGTGGTTGAATGTATATAGGACCTTGTTTGAAACTTGGTCCCTTGTGATAGTATGCCTGGTTTTGGTTGTGGTAGGATGTATAAGGCCTTCCACATTAGGTCTGTTTGTTTGAGTATTCATCTGGGCATTCATTTATGAATGCAAACATAGACATACATGAGCATATACACGCATACATGCATGCACACATGGGCATTCATACATGCATGCGCATAAAGGCATTCATTCATGCATGCATGTACATGCATTCATCCATTCAGGATTCTATATATCTGAGTGATGCTTATCCGTCTCGGATAGGGTTCCATCTTTTAGTTGGACTCATCATTAGACTCCCTGTCATGATGTGTTTGATGAGTGCCGGATCTTGATTTGAGTCAAGGGCACCACATAATCACGCTAATGACCCTCGAGTTTAGTTACTTGTATTGAGGCGTGAAGTTATCTCCTGCTTCCCAAATGGCCATTGGGGAGGGTGGAGATTGGGATTTGTTATTGGCTTGTTAGAGTAGTGATGAGTACTTATTGCCTGTGAAGTGAATCTGACTGTAGTACCTTTGTAAATGTTAGCCATGTATGTTGAAATTGGGTTCTTGTGATTGTGACACCGGCATCTATCTTAAAAAGGGTAAGATAGATGGTCTGATTATCACTGTTTTTGTCATTTTTCTGCTTGAAAGTTTGGTTGATTCTGTTAATGTTTTGACCTTGAAACTATTCTTGAGGTGGTGTTGTTTTCATGGTAGTTGTGGTTGATATCAGAGTGGCGCAGCGAAAGTGTAGTGGCCATGTTCTGATCATAGAAAGTCGGGGCATTTGTTTTGTATTGGATTGTGTCAAGTCATTCACCAGTCTAGATGATCCTAGATTTGAGTTTTGGGGACAAAACTCCTTTTTAGGAGGGGTGGATGTAATACCCCAAAATTTCTAGAGCATTAAAGTGAGTTAGGGACCTAATTGTGAAGAAATATCATTAATGAATGTAATAGCAAAAGTTTTCAAAGTTCAGGGGCTAAAAAGAAAGGAAAT